ATTTAAATCAAATGTTATATTAAATAAATCAGATGATTGACGTTTAGATTTTGTTGATGAAGTATTTATTTCAATAATTGAACCATTGACTAGAGAATCTTGTTGTATCATAGATGTAAGTGCTGCTTGTAATCTTTGGCGATTATTCGTTTGTGAAAGAATTGTTTGAGGATTGAAGTTAGTAAATGGAATTTGAATTCGAAGATTATAACCATAAATAGAAATTTCTAAATTTTCAAAAAAAGAAATTATTTAGCAATTCAATATAAAAAAAAAAAGAAACAATTACTTGACACTCGAATATTATTATTATTCGTTCTTGAAGAATTACGAGATATATATACAGGAATTAATGATAGAACAATAATAACAATCAAAACAAAACCAATAGCAACAAAACAACCTAATATAGAATATATTCGTCTATATGGATCGAGACGTCTATAAAATTAGACAAAAAAAAAAAAATTATAGAAAAAAACAATCTGTATATCTTGCTTATATACCGTGCAGCATTTGTTGTTGGTATCCAATTTCCACCATAAGCTGCGTTATCATACATATTATTACACAATACAATATTTTATTAGAAAAAAAAACATAGGTCATACGAAAAATAGTTGTTTAATTAAATAAATATATGAATCATAATTGTAAATACATATCTTTGAATCTTTTCTCACCATTTTATATTTGATTGTATGGTTACACATGAATGATTTGTTTGAGAAGGAATATGAAAACATGTCAAAAACTAAATGACAAAAATTAATATTATTTTTAACAAGTCAATATAGACGTAATATTTTGTGAAGTAACATTGTTTCGATAATCATATAAATATTATTTAACGACCTTATTATCTAGTTGATGTGAATAGTTATTATGACAGAGTATTTAAAATAATTATATAATAAAATTACAAACAATTAACGATACAGAAATCATGAAAGTTTAGTATATGTTCAAAATATTGTCAGTATGCTATCGAAAGATTTTTTTGTATTGTTAGCAAAAAAATGCTTATCCAACTTGTGGAATTCTATTCAACTTTAAAAAAGTTTTTTGAACGTGAAAACTACCGTGTCTAATATGTTTTTTTTTTAAATCTTGTCATACCAATTCATCTATGAAATTTAGATATGAAAAACTTCATTGGTTAGTAAAATAATAATTTGAATTTGAACTAAGTAATTAACTCTAGAGACAAACATAAAATGTATGTTGTTGCTAAAACTTTTTTCCGCAATTTTATTATATGCTATAAATAGATAAGTACAGATTAACTCTAATGGTTTAAATAGATTAAATAAATCTTGATCAATTCGTTACATTTCTATATTTAGAAATAGTAAATGAAACTTTCCATAGTAATAAATCGTCTGTAAAATATTTGTGTTGAAAATTAAGATTTTTATCTTCGATTATATCATAGAACAGAAAGAAAATTTTTCGATAAGATATTATCATTTCATTGATTATTCAATGAATCTTTCTTTTATTGCTTTAAGAAGACAAATAATCCTCTGTATAGTCTTAGTTGATGATTAGATTTCTACAAAAATAAAATCTAAACATTTTGCTGATACAAAAAAAAGCATTTTGAATGTGTTCTTTTTTTTTTATCTTGTATGGGAATAAGAGAGCATCGAAAAGTTTTGTAGAACAATAAGTTATATATTGCATGATCTTTTCTTCTACTTCATTGACTTTTCTCTATTGACATTGGACAAAGATGCATAACGAATGCATTATCTTTTCAATAGTGATATGAAGGTCGTAGATTGTATACACGAGCGAAGAAAGACAGACATGCAAAAATTTTATCATACCATCCTGTTGTCCCAAATATAGAGTATCTGGAACATATCGTTTGTTTTTAACCAGAGCAATGAAAGAAAAAAAAAAACAAGAATTGAGACAAGTAGATAATATCACAGTTCGACTTGGGTCAGGTCACATAACATTCCCCTATAAGTGCGCTAATTTTATTTGATTTTAATTTTGTGAAATAATCATTCCTTCTTTTTTGACTATTTGTTTAAGCAATTCATGTACTCTTTGAATACTCATTTAATCAATGTATTTTTACAAAGACTCTCGGTATCAACTTGGTTCTCTGACAATTCCTTCTGAATTTGCTTGAAACATTCTTCATTTTAGATACATGTATATGTAAAAAAAAAATGTTAAAAAATAATCAATACTTGATTGCTCTCGAGACTTTGTTTTGTTCGATTTTTAATCGTTGAAATAATAGTTTTTTCTTTTTTTGAGATTGGCCAATTGTATGTAAAAGTTACTTTTATTTTCTTTACAGGAAGAACAATAGTTCTTGACATATGCATATACGCCTCGTAGATCATTACAAACAATAAAAAAAAAAAGAAATTAATGAGAAAATTGTCACGAAACTATTGACAATACTCTCATTAGTAATAGAATAGTACTATTATAATTCGAATAGTCGGACGCATAAAAGATGAATATATGTCTAAAAAAAATATTACAATATGTTTGTATACAAAACTATTTATAATATCAATTCACTTAAATATTTTCTATCAATGTCATTCATTTATATAGTCTTATTTTTTCGTTTATATGACTTGTGTCACTAGAATACACAAAGAAAAATGCAAAGAAAGAGAAAAAAAAGAAGGAAGTTGCTGTCAGTTATATGAAGAGTGTTTTTTTTTCTTTGCTCTTTTTTCTTCGTCTTTCTCTATTAATATGTTCCTTTTTTTTTCTTTTTACATTATATATATATATATTGCCAAAAAAAAGAAAATAGAACTAATAGAGGAGCACAACATATAAGCATACACATCAAACAGAAAATTAGAATAGACAACATTACTCACAACTTATTTTTCATCAACGATCGGCATTATTTTGATAAATATATATATATATATATAAGTATCCAGGCATACAAAAACCAATATAGTGTGATTCGGTGAAGGTTTCTTCTCTTCTTCTTCTTCTTTTTTTTCTCAAACGTTCGCATCGAGAATATGATACAATTAGTAACAAAACGATCGATCAAACACTTTATTAACTATTTATGACGTTATTCCGATAAAATTTAAATAATAATTGAGCAAAAAACAAAATGAATGAACAACAACAAAAACAAATATTTGATAATAGCACGAAATTATATTCTTTTATCACATCACAATTATCATCATCTTTATCACCAGTTCGTACACGTACTGTAGTTAATGTTATTTATATATCAGGCATTGTTTTTATGATAATCGTTTTTCTTGTTTTACTTTGGATTAATTTATATAGTCGACGATGTTGGTGTTGGCATGATACACCACTTAATCATAGATTTTATCATGAATGGATAATAACACGTTCAATAAGAAGAAGTACTGATACATCATTATCAAAAAATCAACGAGAAAAAAAATTATCAAATAATAATGAACTTCTTTCTTAAAAGATATCAATCCATTAATTGAATATGATCAATATTTTATTGAAATAATAACAAAACGATACAAATGTTTGTATTCTGGATAATTATTTTTCTTCTTAACTTTTACAAAGAATTCTAATTATTTCAATCCAAATATGACATATATTAAACTGAAAGATTCCTGCAATGAAGATATTCATTGACAAGTACTCATATAGTATTCATGTTAGAAAATCTTGTGAATACTTATGGTTTTTTGTTACTTATTAGCAGTCTTTCTATTGAGATCTGAATAAGACATTTGATTACGTCTTCTGTAATATTAAACTTTGAAAGAGTACTCTTTTTGTGCAATTTTTTTGTACGATACTAATTTATGTAAAATACTCATAGATTTGTATTCTGTGTCAGTATTATTATACTACATCTGTTTCATATGAAATATAAAATTATAATTGAAAAATACAAAGATATATGATTAAAATTCAAAATAAACAAAAAAAATGGATAGATTAAACATATTCGTGTGTTTATCGTTTAAAATAGTAGTCAATTTGTAGCTATATCTAAACAAATATTTTAAATTCATTCAAGAAATAAACATAGAGGAAAAAGAAATGCGTAAATCATAAAGGCATGACTTCTATTTTTTTTTGTACCTAGCAGGGCATAATTGTTTTATTAAATGTCCTATGAAGAAATGAGTATAAATACTATATTGAATATTTATGGTAACAAGTCGTACGTGCTGGATGAGTATATTCATTAGAGAAATTTCATCAAAAAAAAAACAGCTTAGATTATAATCTATCTAAGATAAAATAATAAGCGCAATTTAGAAATGACTAATGCAATCAATGACGAATAATATGAGCATCCTACTGAAGAACCTAGTGCCATTTTCTAACGTAAGAAGTGATACAGTCAGATTTATGTACAAAGAAGTTCGATGGGAGTCAGTAGTTTAATGTATGATGAGGATGTATATATTGAGATTTTTAGTCACAATATACAAGTATCATGTTGATTTATTATTCGACTAATCGATAGTGATAAGTGACATATAGAACTTCATGTACTTATGAACATATCAATAATATTAAATTATGTCAAAAAAAAGTCAAATATTGTTATGATACATAGCTTCATCTATGCAAATAAGGTTCATATATTTGAAGATGATAGACATAAAAATAATTATTTATGTCATATTATTGTTATAGAACTTGAATTTTGAATAAATATCATTATTATACTATGAATCTAATCAATGATTAACACATTCTCTACAATATGTAGATAAGAATTGCAATATGATTGAAGTTGTCAACAATATTGAGTTTCATTATCATTTATGGATGACTACTATTCTAATATAACTTTCATATATAACAAATACATATATGATATTGAAATATCAAGTAATTATTACAAATAATATTTCTAAATCAAGCAAGTTTTCTGAAAACGCAAAAATTTTATAGTATTCAATTAGAGAAATGTTTAATTATTTTGAAACTTAACAGAATAATTTACGACTTATTAAGCTTGTCTTTTCTTACGTGACCTTTAAAATTTCTTTATACTTCCGTCATCACATGTTCCTTGATGAATAATTTATTAAAATTTCCAGCGAATTAAAGTAAACAAAAGTTTTTGCATAAAAACTTGTGCTACATCTTTTTACAATTACAAATAAGAAACAAAAATAATTGTGTTCAATTAAATAATTTTCATTTCTATTAAAATAGTATAGTGTATGCCTTCGTTACTTTTAAATAGACACAACGTTTATTTTTATTAATTGATACACTAAAGTATGCACGAATGACGTTTGCATCGCAATCAGAAAGTATTTTTTTTATGAACAAATAAATTAGCATATTAACTTTTTCAGCATGAAATCTCTAGACAAGACATTCATTATTTTACTCGAGAGAATATAAAAAGTAAAATTTCTTTCATTGTTTTTGAGTTAGAGCATAACTCAATAATACTTAATGATATAATATATGCATACTTTAAATATCATCTGAGATTTAGTTTCATAATAGAAGATAAATAAGAATTGATAACAACAACAAATATTTAAATAACATGGAGTTTAAAGAGTTTTTTTTGGATTGATCAAAGATCAAAACTTAATTCGTATCTAATTCGAATTGTTTAATTTTTGTCTAAACCTTCATTTTGCTGGATATTTATATTATTTTTGAATAGGAAAAATAAGTATTTGTTACAATGCTTTCTGAATGTCTATATTGGATAATCGAAGAAATAAATTCAACTTTTTAGTATTAACAAGAAAAACTTTATGTAACTTTTAGAGATCACAAAAATTGAATAGTTTTATAAAATTTCGACAAAATAAAAAGAGTTCATTAAAACTATTGTACTATGTGTACAATAATATAGAGGAAAGGTATGACATTATTTAATTGAATTCAATTATGTTTAATTCTTACTTTCAATTATCATATTTAATCAATATTGTCACGAAACATCCGATTGTTTACGATTCATTATGAAAACTTCCTGTGACCTACTTTTATAATAATAAAAACACGATTGTAAAATAGAAAAGAATATAGGTACAACGTAAGTTTTTATATTTTTGATCAATATAAAATTATGATTTAGTTATTATAGTTTTGTATCTTTTAATAATATCGAAAGAATTAGGATTTTTTTTTTGTTTTTGTGACGAAAGTAAAAAGAATTTTTCAACTTGTAAGAGTATAAAACATCTAATGAAAATTTTTCTAAACTGTTAAATAATTGAATAAGTTTTGCATCATTCGATTCAGACGGATCCAAACAATGGGTGCCATCTAAGTTCCCTTAAGAAGACTCATTGATCAAGTTCTAATTCTTTCGTATTGTCTTCAGTAAATTGATTGACAACTTATGATTGTATGGCACTTGATTTAGTTGAATTATTGTAGTACCATGTTTGTTTAAGCAACGGAACGAAATCTATATTATCTCATATGAAAGATAGAGAGACAGAAATCTCTTCATGCATATTTACAATTAAAATCACTGCCCGTTTAAAAGAATAACAAAAACTATTCAATAAAGTTTACATTTATGAGGATGATTATTTATACTATTTTTTAATGTGAAGCTGTAAGCCAATTGCAAGATATGTTCTAAAGTTTTGAAAAATGATCAAATCTTTATCGAACATATACTTCATACTGAAAATCAAAGTGTAAGATAGAAATGAATTATTGATGTGAACTACTTTTAGTTGAAATGTAGGTCATGATTGCAAATGATGCTTTTTTTTTTATTAATTTTATAATTGATAAAAATAAGTGAAAAACAATCTTTCATCAATTACCTATTCCATATCATTAAAATAGCGTGAAATTGACGATTAATTTTGATATGTCAAAAACAACAATATAAGAAAAATTGTTCTCAGTATTCTTCGAACGTGATATTTGATAAACTGAATATTTACTTTTTTAATTCATTTGAACCAATAAGAAACTGACATGATCATTTTATTTTTCCATAATTTAGAAAGGGGAAGATCTAAAGATATTTTTTCTTTAAGGTTTTTGTTTATATTTTACTAAAATCTATCTTACACATAGAAAAACCGGAATCAAAAAAAGATTTATCTTTTGAAATAGTTCTCTTGATAGACACGTATCTTTTTTCTTTTTTGCCTCGTCTTCATACCTGTCAACCATAGATCTTATTCGTTCTTTTACATACGTGTTATTAATTGGTTGTGTAGTCTTATGAAGAAAAGTTTAAAGACAAAAATCTAACAACGAACTTAAATGTATCAAAACTTTGCTATTATAATGTCATCTGAACAATTACAGAGCTTGATTTAAGCTATTAGTGTATGTAGAAAGAAAACTTTCGCGAGCCGCCTATAAAACTTAATAGTATCCGACGTTTACTATTTTTAGTATGCTCTCCGTAAGTATGATTATACAAGATATAAATTATGTATTTTTATTATTGAACTACAATTAGATGAATCATGATTTCTTTTTCAATGAAAATCATCAATTTAGAAGATTTAATCAGGCTTATAAATCGTGATAAAATCACCTAATTTTGTATGTTATTAATAACATGAGTTCAATAAAACTTTAAAAAGTGAAAATATCTCATTGTCTATTTGTAGGAGATATTATTTAAATTAAAAATTCTTGAACACACACATATCAAAGAAAGATTTTCATCACAACTTGACTCATATTTAATTCATTCACAGCGAGTAATAGAAAAAAAAATGATTTTTCTGCCGTTATTCTGTTTTTGATATAAAGTTATAAAATAACATAATCTTCATACTAGAAACTTAATTAGAACTTATAGCCAGTTCAAAAAAAAACGTTTCACCATCATTTTTTACTTGAAACTAACAGATTTCTATGTGTTAATAAAAAGAAAATGAAGATTAATAATTCTCATACCATTCTGACAATAACAAGTCTAATTGCAATCTTGAAATAGTTTTATTTACAGGCATCTAACCATATATCATTGCTCTCAATCAATAATTATTCAAAAAAAAAAAATAATAATCTTGTTAGTAAGTTTTCGGCTTTATACAGATGAAAGAACAACAGTCTGGCGACAAAAAAAAACAAACAAAAATCAAATTAATATAATAAATTCAGTTTATTTTTGATTCAAGACGAATGTATTATTTCCATTCCCATACTAAAATGATTACGTCCAAAAGTGACCTTATTGATACCTATCTAATCTATTTTTGTAATTAAGTCAATATTCAACTCTACTATGTAATTATCAAGAGATAAAAGATGATAATTTTAAATAGAAAATAATTTTAATAACAATTAATTTTTAGTTGAATATAAATTATTAAATTGCGCTATTCTATTTATTATGTAGAATACTAATATACACATTCATAACAAATAGACGGAAATTAGATATAAAATTTTCTTAATTAATAAGAAGTAGAAATATTTATCTAGGTACAATGATGTTTTACTTATGTCATTAGTTTTTTTTTCTTTCTTTTACTCTACTTATGTCGTAGATAAATTATTTCAACATTTGTAACATCGTACTAAAGCTATAATCTTTAGATTAAGTCCTTTTATATAATTTTAATGTTAAGTGATATTTAAACAAAAATTTGTTTTTTTTTGACTTATTAACAATTCGATATTATAATATGTCGTTGTCAATCTATCAAATATTATTATTATAAAAAGAACAAACCCCCTAAACTAGAATGATTTTGACATTTGAAGATAAGTGTTGAAAGTTATATGTCAAAATTATTACCAATAATGTTCTATCAGTCTCATTATCATTCGTTTTCTTTTTTTTAAACATAGAACTATCCTTGAATGATAGCATACAGCAATAATTCATTTTTATTCTTAATTTTACTTCGTTACTATTTAGTACGCAAAGTTTAAAAAAATACAAGTTCGATTAGAAGTAATTTAGTGCAAAAAAAAAACAGAAAACGAAGCTCATCAATGATGAATGTTTCATATTCAAATATAGTAGCAGACTTACTGCTGAGTATTGTTTTGTAAGACTATTGAATATCGTCATATTTCCTAATAGAAACACGATTCAATCATGTAGAGAAAATCACAAAATATAATGATAATCATTGATTGATAATTCAATGTTGATCGTTGTGTTATGTATTTATTGTTAATCATATTTATTGAGTTGTGAAAGAAGAAGAAAAAAGATTTAAAGAAAAGGTGGATATTATTAGTAAGTCTTGACAATAGTTTTTTATCGTTAAGATCTTATTCACAATATCTGATTTCTATATATAAGCTAATTTGTTTATTGATAGATTATTACGTTGTAGTTTTTTTTTCCTATTGAGTATATATATAAGAAAATGAAGAAAAAAAAATCATTTTCTTCAAGTATTAGTTTGATGTAAGTGAATTAATTGTATGAATACGTCAGCATATAAGATTTTCCTAGTGATTGTCATCAATTTGTTATGAGATTTCTATCTCTGTTCTTTCTTTTTTTGGTCGTCATATATACATAGAAAAAAATATTTGTTGATTTCTTGTGATAAGAAGCAAAGATAATATATTCATTGTCTAATAAGATAATACAAATTGTCGTTTGGTTAATGCTTTGAGATATTTTCTTTTCTTATTCTAAATAATTACCTTTAAACTATTGAAGTTTTTTATTCATACAAAAGTTCATATGTAAGTATCACTTTTTTTTTCTTTTTACTTTGTGTCTCGAGGTAGAAATTGACTTTGTTTTGGAGAGATCATAAATCACACACAAAAAAGAAAAACAAAGTAAAAGGTCTTTGGCATGCTCATTAAATTAAATACTTTAATCTAAGAGATCAAACAATGTTTCAACGGTATTATTAATGCCTTCCTTTTTTTTTTTTGCTCTATCTTTTTGAGACATTGTCACCAGACATTGACGCATAAGTTATTTATCATTTATTAATACTTCATTGAATTGTGACCATCTTGTCCTGTTCCAAAAAGAAAAACGTATATTGAAAGAACTATATAACTGCTTTTTCTAGTACAAAAAAGAGACCTATAAATGATGCTTGTACTATTCTTATTATTTCCTATTAGAAAGAGTTGACAAGGTTATATTAGCATGCATCTATCTATATATATATATATATAGTGAGTCGAACTTATTATTTTGTTCATTACCATATACTCAGAGCAATCGTTATTGTTAAGAGAGTCTCGTCTTTTTTCTTCGTCTTCTTCAATTTCTCGTCGTCATAGTCTTTTTTTTTTTTTTCTTGTTTTTTTGATAATCCGAAAAGTTTATAAAATAGAAAAGTTATTTTCTATATGTATATGCATATAATCATATTCTATAGTCATTAATATTCTTAACGAAGAGTTTTCTAAGTCGATCGAAACAACATATGTATATGACGATGTGTCCGACGTACAAAATCTTAATAATATATTTCATTTGTTACGACAATGATGTTCCTAGAACACTCTTATTAGGTTTTTTCTTTCTTTTGATACTTATGTGAGTACGTTGTGATCTTGACCATCTCTTTCTTTTGAAAAATTGTAAGTAAGTACGATTGTTATTCATTTTGTAAATGCAATTAAACAAAAAAAAACAAGAAAACTTTTTAAAATAAACTTTCTAAATTCTTTCGATTTGTTTATATTAATGATATAATTATCTAATAATATTTTTTCATTAATCTATACATAGTTGTGATGAGTACATAAGTTAATATGACATTAAAAGTTTTATTGATGAGAAACAAAAGATAATTTCATTTCGATTATTTATTCATTTTCTTTCTTTTTTTTTTATGTATCTTAATTAAGTATGAAAATAATTTAATATTTTCATCTAAGATAATGAAAATGATTCATTGTTCATGACTAATTATTTTTCAACAAAAAAAAGACAAAGTTTCTTTCACACATCATTAATCTAAGTCGTTTGTTCTTATCAATTTCATACATGACTATCATTTTTTTTAATATTCTACTTTCTACATTACTTATTTTGATTAATTAATAATTAGACAAGCGGAAACTTGTCGTTATACAAGAACAAAATGAAAGAAAATAGTAATAGATATTATGAAATGATAAAGAAAGAAAAAGATGAAACATGTTAACAAGTATTGTATGTAATATCCGTGTATCTTATTAGCATATGTATAAAATAAATCATATTTTATCTATATATTACAGTCTCGATTCTTAAGCATATGTATATCCTATCATTATTAATTGCTTGTTTTTGTTTGGTACATTGCCATAGTAAAAACTCCCTAATTTTTTGAATAAATAGAAAATTTATTTTGTTTTGTTTTTTTTACACTCGTTCTGTAAGTTCGTATTAGTAATATTTGTTAGATTGTAATTAATGAATTTTACTAAGAAAAGAAACAAGATCACTATATAATAATTTTGTTTGTATACAGATTCTTTCATAATGTTATTTTGATTTCTATTGACGACTCTTGTAATTGAATCATATTGATATTTAACTATATGTCAATAGAAAATAGAAGTAAACGAGTAGAAATAACTTTTGTTGATTATTCCATCAAGAAATCACTTGCATTACAAAAGAAACAAAAAAAAACGATATTTTCGTACTTATTTTACCCTTAACTATACGTTTAAAAAAAAAGTCAGTTCTTATCTTCTTGTGTAACTCATTAAATTTTTATCTGTCTTTAATTGACATGCAATGATACTCAATTGCTTCATTTATATGAAAAAGAAGAATTTCATTATTAAAGACTGATCTTCTCTTATTCTTTTTTGTTTTTTGACGATAATCTTTTCTTATAAGTGATGAAAATAGCGATCTCATTTTCTAATACAAAGTTGCCGACTGGGGACTAATTTTGACGTCATAGCTAATATTTCACGTAATAAAAGAGAAATTCATACAACCGAGAAGAATCTATAATTATTTTTCGACTACTTCTCTATGTTGTCTTAGTAAATCAAAACTAAATAGGATATAATCGAGAAAGAGAAGAAGAAGAAGAAAAAAGAAAAGATTTATACACTTGTCTTGCTTCTTTTTATTCCATATACTACATTACGTATAAATAAGCAAAGACAAAAAGAAAAAAACAACGGTAATCAACCTTCAACATAAGTAAATAGTTTGTTTGACAGCAAGACACAAGTATATCTATATAATATTGTTTTTTTTTGACGAACAACGGATAGTGATATAAAATATCTGCTGTTATAGTGATGACATTAGTTACAATGACAGTCAATCCGCATATTGTTACTGTAACCGTTGTTTGTTTCTTTATACTACCAAATCTACGTATATAAATAATTTCCGTATTTTCTCTCAAAACTAAAATAGTAACATAGTTATTTGTTTCTCTTTTTTTATAGATAAAGTAAACTTGAATACGTCAATGATTTTTATAATTATTTAGCAAATGTCAAATATTAATTATACTAATTTTATTGTATTAAATAATATGAATTCAACAAATAATTATATTAATACAAGTTTATTAGATCATGATTTTTTATTAAATAATTATGAAAATTTACCACTTGTTGAACGTTTAACAATATATATAACATTTATTGTATCAATTATTGGTATTATTGGTAATATATGTACAATAATTGTATTAAATCAAAATACAATGCGTCAATGGCGTTCATCAATGTTATTAACAGCATTAGCTGTAACAGATTTTGTTTATTTATCAATTATATTTTTATCAATTATTGATATATTAACACATCAAACAATTGGTCTTCATCGTTCATTATTACTTTGTCAAATAACTGTTTATATAACACATGTTTGTTCATTTTTATCAGCAGCATTTACATTATCATTTACATTACAACGTTTTGTTGCTGTTCTTTTTCCATTACATGCATATACAATAATATCACATCGTTCATCAATTATAAATATATTATTACTTATATTTATTAGTTGTACATTTTATTTATTTAGTTTTTTTGTAACAAATATATCTCATGGACAATGTCGAGAAGATGAAACTTATCCAGCTTTATTCCCATTATTAATTGTTGATATATGTTTAACATTTGTTATACCATTTATATTTATTCTTCTTTTTAATTTTGCTATTGTTTATAAATTACATTCAAGAAAAAAATTTACTGATGCTTTCGGTAAGTTAAACAATAATTATGAATAGAAATTATGTTTAATAGTTTCATGCTAATAAGTTTAGCAATAGAGCACTGCTATTTTACCATCATTTTTAATTGAATATTAAATTCTAGAATAAGAATAGATTCTATTGAGATCTTAATTGACTTTTCAACTATTTATTTAGAAACTAATGCGTTCAAAAGAAAGTAAAAACTAATCGCAAAGAATGTACAATGAAAAAAAAACTCCTGTTTTACTATTTTTTTACATTTACATCAAGTTGTTGATCCATTATCAATTTTCTCACTTCATTACTTTTTCTTTTTGTCTCATAAATCATCGAATAGGTTTCAAATGATATTTCCCAATTTATCTTTTTACATATGGCATATCATAGAAATATAAGATGACCTATTTTTGTATAGCTACCAAATGGATATATGTTTAGAAAATATGACATTTAATATTGTTTAAAATATAGAAATAGAAAAAGAATATCGTTTTGGTATGTTCTAATGTTGTGACTAATTCATATTCGAAGGATTTACGTAGTCTAAATAGAATACGAATGATAAATGACGAAAACAAATACGTGCATAGACTTCACAAAAAAAAATAATCACGTCTTTTATTTTTCAAGTTCAATTACATGATTAGTAATTCATAGTCAAGTGCCAAGAACATAGTTAACTAATTTATAATGGAAAAATATTGAATTAATTTTCATTGTTTTTCTTTAATAAAAAAAAAATTAATTCTTTTCATATTCAATGAAATAAAGATAGTCAACAAATGTATTTTTAAGAAATATTATCATCATAACTTATCTATGAGCGCACTAGATATTGATCTCTGTTGACTATTAAAATAATTTTCTGAGTTTGAGCTATGTGCTTAGTATTATAAAAAAAAAAAAAAGCTAAGTTATTGTTAAGCTTTTATCCTCTACTTTGGCTGACGTCATCAATTGTCTTTAGTCATACGAATGGTATTATTTTTTTTTTAGACTTATCAACAAAAATCCTTTATTATACTTGACATTTTCTATAAATATTGAAGAAGTTTTTTACTTTGTATATTTAAAATCGAACTTCTTGAACTCATTCTTCTATTAATTCTTGTTTAACTTTAAACAGCATGTCTAATAGTTTCTTTTATCAAAGTCATGCATTTCTTTTTGGTATTATTTGATATTGATAAAAAATACTAGTAATTAAGATTGACAGATCATTGAGTACAATGTTAATTTCCGTTCGAACACAAGTAATCATTGAACAACGGAATTAACAAAACAAAAAAAAAAAAAAAAAAAAAACTTTGAAAGACGTTTTATGAATTTTAAAATGTTAATAATTCGTTTTTTATATACACACATGTAGTTCTATTATTGTTTTCCTTTTCATACACAAAATCACTATTAATAAATTATAAACAACATAGTCAAAATATAAATGTTATAGAATAAATCAGCAAAATAAAAGATTTGAATAGAATTTAAAAAAAAAAAAAATTCAATACGATAAAAAACTATTAGTTCATAATCCGTACAAGATTAACATATTGTAGCTGCTGTTTCTAATCATAGGAAGATTATATTTTTTGGGACACATTTATTTAATCCTCCAGAAAATGTAATAAAGAAGTAGGCCATATATATATAATAGCAAGATGTTATTCATATACAAATTTTTGTTTTGTACATTAACAACATCTGTCGTTGCCTAAGATGCAAATACAAGGAACGTGTTGATAAGTCATCTGCACGGTCTGTTACGATCTCTGATTAACATCTGTTACACTCTATGATGATCTCTGATTAATGTCTGTGACGAGTAGAAGGGCATGGGTACAAGTTTTTACTTCTATATTTAAATATTTTTGATTGATCATATTTTACAAGTATTGAAAATAATGAGAATAAACAATCTAGTTTGTCTTAACAAGCTTTGATCCAAACAAAAGGTTTCTTTAACTTTATACTTAATTGTTTTTGAATTGAACTTTATTCTTAAATAATATTTAAAGATTGTTTGTATCAAATACAAAAATCCTTAGTTCATATATTAAAATATATAACAATAAAAATAAAAATTCTTCTAAATTTCAAATTTATATAAAAAATATAATTTTAGTATATAACAAAAAAATTTTTGAAATTATAGAATCGGCACTAGGAGAAAGTTGTCGACGAAAAACATCAGATGGTCTTAATGAAAGACAACGATTATATAAATTGAATACTCATATAATTGATGATAATGATTATATTCAATTAAAAAAAGGAAGGAAAATAATTACTTCTCAAATTACTACACCATGTCTCGAATTCAAGAAATCAGATCGTGAATATTTAACACGTCATAATAATATAAACAATCATCATCATCATCATCATCATCATAATACAGTAACAACACCTAGATTTTCATATGAATCAGTTACACCAATAGTAAATGGAATAAAACAACAACAACAAACAATATCACAACGTACAACAAAAATGCTTGTTATATGTTCAACAACATTTTTAATATTTAATTCACCTTATTGTGCTGTTTTATGTTATTCAATAATATCTAAAAATGTTTTAACACGTACATTAGATATATTAAGACATTTTTATTTTATGTCATTTTGTTTAAATTTTTTTCTTTATTCATTATGTGGAAATCGTTTTCGTCATGAACTTATTTTATTATTAAGAAGATATTATCGAAAATGTTTTACAAATTTATTTCGTCATAATTGTTTACATTTTTATAAAATTCCAAGAGAACCAAGTATTTCACATACAACGGCACGAACTATTATTTAATCGAATGAGTTTTCTTTTTTTGTTTTTTTCTTTGATTAGAAAAAAAACAAAAATATTTTTCGCTCTATAAATAATAAACATAATTTAGCATGAAATTATTTCTTTGTTTTTTTTTTCTTTTTCTGTGTTGGTTTTAGATTTAACCTTTTGGTTGTTAATGAAAAATATATATATATATATATACATATGTCATGAACTTAAAACTAATGTAATCATTTATAATACAAGTTTTGTTTTGAAAAATACATTTGAATAAATGTAAACGTAAAGTAATAGGTGCTTTCTTCATTATTATCATGTTTTTTTTTAAGGGCTTAGGTTAGTTGCGTGATGTACGATCAATTTGTTTTATGTAAATATATATCTATTGTCCTACTTTTTCAGATATAGAGCAGTATGATAATTATGAATTGATGATATATTATGACTTGTTTTAATCTATTGATTAAGACTGATGACAAATATTTTTTGTATGTTTAACCTTTAAAAGCCGAAGGGAGTTCTCGTGACAATTTGAACTAAACCAGCCATCGGAGCTGAACTTCTGAGTCATCAGTATGATTATATTATAGTAAAAAGAATAATTATTTTTTCTTATAGAGATACAGAATGTCCCTTGGAGGAGACATTCGGTCGTAATGGTCCAAAATTTTTCACTAGTCTGAAGTTTTTGTTTTGAAATAATTTTATTTATTTGTTTGTTATTATTCAAAAAAAGAATTCAAACAATATTTTACACTTTTTCAAAGCTTACGTACTCTCTGTTCCAATATAAGACTTGCTCAAATGTTTTGGTCCGTTAAGATCAAATGTCCCTTCCAAGGAACATTTTCTTCATGATGTCATAATGCATCAACAAATCGGTTAAAAAATTCAGAGATGGTCTCATTCGATAGCCTGATGCTGCGTCTCGCGATGCCACTCACAAAAAAATAGACTTTCACACTGTATTAATAAATGAACAAAAGTTTTAAAGTAAAAAAATGACATTCAAAAAATTATGTCTTAAAAAACCCATTGTTTCGTCTAACAGGTACTCAAGACTAATCTTTTTCTCTTTTCATGATCTATCAGGTTATCTTAGTCCAAGAAAACATTGGATCTTGTATATGAAGTTATATTACATGTTTTATTGAGATTTTTTCAATGTCCCGTGGAAGAGGACATTCGGCATAGTTGGATTATTTGTAAAGATAATATGTGATGATCTTGATAATCTTAAATATCAATCAAGAAAATAATATTGTCTTCACTATGTTTTACATTAGATTTCTTTAGTTAACTTTTCAAAAAAAAAATATAATTCTATATAAGATATGCCAGTTATTGGTTGAAACGAGTTCTATTATAAGCACATAATTATTATCAATAAAAAAAAAAAACTTCACTGAAAAGTTGCGTTTACGGGAATTTCACATGTCTGAAAAAGTTTTTCTTAATGTTTGTATATAAAGAACAAACATTTATCACGGTTTCTGCTTTGTTTTTTTTTAATGATTATGAGCAACAATACAAAATAAAATGTTTCGTTTGCTCGACACGAAAAAAATATTCTAATTATCATTTATTTTACTTTTATTCAATTTAAATTTTGTCTCTTTGTAATAACAGCTTTCGATCTAAACATATTTTTCTTAGAATGGGTGTGGCTGTCAATATTCATATCAGTCACGCCCACATCCACACCCACTGATGCACCAGACCGCCTTGTAAATAAAATGTCCTGAAAATTTCAGATCAAAATGTCGTCATTCAAATCTTGTTATAAAATCTTGCTGCACGCTAAAGTTTCAATAAAAATAATTATAACTCTAATCCTTTTGGAAATCTCATTATGATCTATTCTATGTATAGAATTCGAACTCAAAAATGATTTTTATATTAAGAAGATTTCTTTGTTAGTCATAAATTTTCTTCCTATTACTTTCAGTTATACAAATTAATTATTTCTATTCGAATCAAAATCAATATTTTAATAATAATAATAAGAGAACTATTCAAATATCTATCGACATGACAGTCTCAGTTACGAATCACATGAAATCACTTTTTATTTTTTTGTTCGTAATATGCCCAGTTGGGTGTCAATCGACTACTGCATGACACCATAAGAATATAATATATAACAAGGTCATTGTAATATGCATATATAAGAGCCATGTGTGCACATTTGATCAACTATTCAAAAAAAAATAAATATGAATAAACATATATATGTAAAATATTAAACAATGGAAAATAATTTCGAACAACTTATTGGTGTACTTCCATTATCTTCATCATTTACGTTTGGTATTAGAGAAATAACAAATATATTAGAAAAACAAAATATTGATTTATTATCATCATTTATAAATGAATCATATTCATCATTATTTAAACTTGAATGTTGGGCATGGAAATTATTAAGTAAAGATTCTTATCAATGGATAAATCAACCAAATTATTTAAATTTATTTAATACACTTGCTTTATTTAATAAAAATTTAATATTTAATTATAATGATATACAACATGAAATAAAAGCATCACTTCTTATACCTAATACAATTGATCAAATAAATGATCTATTTGAACAAATTGAACGAGATAAAAATGATAATGATCCATTTATTAATATAGCTAATTTATGGTTTGATAATCTTGCATTATTTATTCATGAAAATCCTGAATTTGATACATTACCTATTATTTGTCATATTAATCAATATATGGGAAAAAATTATCTTATGACTGAACAATTTTTATTATATTTAATTCAACTTCAAAAACCTAAATTACCACAATCAATATTTACTTATAAACAATTATTTTATATAAAAACATGTTCATTTTCTTTAAGTTCATATTTAACAACAAAATCCCAAAATTTTCTTTTTACTGCAGAAGATATAATGCATTATATTGGTAATGATTTTGTACAAATTATTGATATACATAGTCATATAATTGATATGTGGAGTGAACAATTTCTTACTTGTATAACACATTTAATTGGTTTTATTTCCACATGTTGTTGGTGGGGTGGAGAAAAATTAAAACAAATAAATCGTTTATTTCATTCTGAACAAATTATTTATTCATATATTAATTCAATTATTCGTATAATTAGTTATAAACCATTTTATTCACATATAAAAGCTCAATCATCAAATGATGAAACAAAATTAATTGATTTTTGTTTATTTTCTTTAAAAAGTTTAGTACAAAATCAAGATTTAATTTGGTTTTTTCGTACAAAAATTTCATTACCAGATACACTTTTAACAATAGCTGAATTATCAATACATGATAAAATTTGTTTACGTGCATATATTGTTTTAGGTGAAATTTTATGTAATGAACGTTTAAAAGATTTAAAAATTACTGATAATTTAAGTTTATTTTTTTATGATATGCTTGAACATGCTTGGAGAAATCCATTAAAAAATTATAAACAAATACCTATTTTTCATTTATTACGAGGTAAATTTATTATTTATTAATATCTTATTTTAATAAAATCAATATATATATCTATATATCAATTTTTTTATTCTTGTAGGTTTTTTAACATTATCAAAAATTGATGCAATTCAACAAAAAACAGCTGATTTACATAAAATACCACTTTTTATAGAAATATCTGATGAATATCCAATAACATTTGATATTCTATGGGCATTATCATTTAATACTGATATTCAACATCAATTACGTTCAAATACAACATTTATGTCTAAATTAGTACAATTAGCAAAACAATGTGATAATGAACAAATGAGAAAAATGACACATGGAATTCTTTGGAATCTTGAATCAAGTCGTCAAGATCGTACAATATTAGAATTTAATGATGAAAAACCATTTGATATTATGATTAGTTATTCACATAAAGAAAAAATTCTATGTAAACAAATTTATGATGAATTAACAAAATCTGGTTATCGTATATGGATTGATTTTGATCAAATGCATGGAAATGTAATGGATGCTATGGCACAAGCTATTGAACAATCACATATAATTATTATTTGTATGAGTGAACAATATCGTAAAAGTAATTATTGTCGTGCTGAAGCACATTATGCATTTCAACGACAATTAAAAATTGTTCCAATACTTTTACAAAAACATTATAAACCAGATGGATGGCTTTTATTTCTTATTGGTCAATTACTTTATATTGATTTTACTAAATATGAATTTTCACGTGCAATAAAATTATTATTAAAAGAACTTCAAATTGAAGAAATTATTGAAACTCCTATTAAAGCAATTTCTTCTAGATCAAGTGTAGAATCTGTAATTTATAAAATAGAAGAAATACCATTGAAAAAATCATTATCATTAATATTTCCAAAAAATATTCTCGATTGGACTCAAACAAATGTACATGATTGGTTAATTGAACATAATCTTATTCAAATGTCTCAAATTCTTATTGATTTTGATGGTTCAAGTTTACTTTATTTGAATGATTTTATTAAAAATGGTGAAACAAAACAAGTTTTAAGTCTTCTTCAACAAGAATCACTTCGACGAACAAATCAATGTTTATCATTAATTGAATTATCTTATTTTCAATCATTAATAGATCAACAAAGACGTTATCTTACATCGACATTTTCTAAACGATCTACAAGAAATTCTAATCAAGCAAATAAATATATTTTATCTTGTTGTCATTTAATTTAACATAATTATTTTTACGGGAATATCTGTATCAAATTAACTATAACTTTTCATATATTTCTCCTAAGAGACTATTCTGTATTTATGTCTATTGTATATTTAATGTAACAAATGTTCCATTATATTTGATTGTTTCTTATGGGTGATAATAAAGTTGATGTTACTCATTATAAAAAAAAAAAAGAGTATTTTACTTTCTGATATTATATTATGTCAGAAGATGGAACACTTGTTTGATAGTGAAGAACATCAATTTTAATATTTTGCCATATTCATTGTGAAGTACTTTGTAAAGAAATATTACTCATCGAATGTACATTCGACTCAAACTAATATCTAATTTAACAAACTATGTCACATACGAATAAGGAAAATAATTTTATTATTTCCTCATTATTGTAAAAACTGCGAACGTAATAAGAAAAGCTCTAGAACGATACTCAAAGCACACATATTTCATCATTATGGTAGTTCTGTTTAGTCTACATTTGTCTTGTAGATTATATTGCTAAACATAATGCATTCGATATGTTTTTGTTTCTTCCATATGTAGAAGGATGTTATAATCAATGTAATGTGTTCGTCAACACATTCTTCTTCCATCTATCGACTTGTTGTTGTTGACTGGTAGTGAAAGAAGAACATTAGTCAGTCAAACGATGTGTAACGATAGAAATGCAAAGGTCATGAAAATGTCACTCCGAAGAAATGATTCATAAGTTAAAAAAACCTATTAATGGAAAACGAATTTGAATATTTAATAACGCTTCTTTCAACATCTCCTTTACCAAATGATATATTTCAACAAATAAAAAATTATCTTCAACAACAAACAAATGATCTTTTACCATCATTTATTTCTCAATCATTTCAATCATTAGTTATACTTGAACATTGGGCATGGAAATTACTTAGTCATAATTTTCATCAATTCATAAATCAAACAAATTATCTTGAATTATTTCATTGTCTTGGTTTATTTAATTATATGTTAATATTTAATAATAAACAAATTGAAGCTCATATTAAATTATCACTTATTATTCCAGATAATATTCAATTAATTGATGAAATATTTAATCAAATTGAAAAAATTAAAAATTTCAATGATCCATTTTATACTATAATTAGTTGTTGGTTTGAAAATATATCATATTTAATACATGAACATACACAATTTGAAACATCATCTATTTTTATTCATATATGTCAACGTTTAGGACATAATTATCTTTTATCTGATCAATATAAAGATTATTTAAAACAATTATGTCAAAAAGATATTTCACAAATAATATTTACAACAAAACAATTATTTTATATAAAAACATGTTCATTTGTATTTCGTATGTATATATGTTCAATAATTGATAAAACACCTTTTAAAGGTGATGAATTACTTAAACGTTATGGTAATGATTATTTACAAATAATTCTTATACATAGTTATACAGTTGATACATGGAATCAACAATTATTAACATGTATAACACATCTTATTGATTTTATATGTGCTTGTTGTTGGTGGGGAACGGAAAAAGCAATATATATTAAAATACTTCTATCATCGGAAACAATTATTTATGAACATATTCAAGGACTTATACGTATTGTTGGTTGTAAAAAATTTCATGAACGTATTGCATCACAATGGTGTAATGATGAAACAATACTTATTGATTCAATATTTATTTTTTTTATGGGTTCTTTATTACAAATAAAAAATTTAAGTTGTTTTATACGTTCAGAAACAATATTATCTAATATAATATTAGCCATAGCACAAAAATCATGTTATGATCGTATATCTGTATGTGCATATGGAATTTTAGCTGAAATATTATCTGATGAACAATTAAAAGAAGTTACAATAACAGATAATATATCAGAATTTTTCTTTCGTATTTTGGAACTTGCATGGAATCATCCAACACAACGTTATAAACGAATACCTATTCCACAATTATTAACAGGTTATCTTATTATTCTTAATTAGATAATAAAAGAATATAGCAGTTAGAAGATAAAGAAAAAAAAAGACAAAAGTAATGAGAGGAATCTTCTTGAAATATAAAATGATGCCTTACTTTTTTTGAGAAGATGTATGTGTGAATTTCGGATCTCTTGGGAGAGTCTATTGGGTTCAAATTTTTTCGATCCTAAATCCAATCGAATCATGCTGCGATAATCTTTGAGCATAGAAGGACACTATCCACATACCTTTTCAGAAAGATGATGGGATCATTTAGAAGAAGTTTTAAGACTACCAGTGTTTTATCTTGATTTCATTTTCCGAGTGAGCGAATCGAAATTTCAGATGGGCGGCGCCCACCCGACCCACGCAGTAGATGCATGACTGCTATATGTTTTCGAGTGGGCGAATTAAAATTTCGGGTAGGCGCCGCCCACTAGATAAATCACTGAATACTACTAAAATGTAATATCAAAACTGACTGTTTTTCAAAAAATATCCAAAGCTAATATCATTAATATTGAAATGTTGCATAACATCTTCTGAATTAATATGTAAAACTAAATCGATCGTTTTTTTGTAGGTTTTTTAACTGTATCAAAAAATGATGCAATTCAACAAAAAACTGCTAAATCAAATAAAATTTCACTTTTAATAGAAATGTCTGAACAATATCCAATAACATTAGATATATTATGGAGTCTTTCATTTAATCATGATATTCAAGAACAATTACGTACAAATCGTTCATTTATGAATAAATTAGCTCGTTTAAAAGAAGAATGTAATAATGAAAAAATGCGTAAAATTACATTTGGTTTACTTTGGAATCTTGAATCAAGTCATCAAGATCGTACTATATTAGAAATAACTGATGAAAAAATATTTGATATTATGATTAGTTATTCACATAAAGATGAAATTATTTGTCAAACAATTTATGAAGAACTTATTAAAAAAGGTTATCGTGTATGGATTGATTATGTTCAAATACATGGAAATGTAATGGATGCTATGGCACAAGCTATTGAACGATCACATATAATTATTATTTGTATGAGTGAACAATATCGTAAAAGTAATTATTGTCGTGCTGAAGCACATTATGCATTTCAACGTGAACTTAAAATTGTTCCAATACTTTTACAAGAACATTATAAACCAGATGGATGGCTTTTATTTCTTATTGGTCAATTACTTTATGTTGATTTTACTAAATATGAATTTTCACGTGCAATGGAATTATTAATTGAAGAATTAAAAGCTCCTTGTGTACAAGAAACACGAGTAATACCTGTTCAATATAAACAAGATAAAACTCTTGTATGTTCATCAACATCAGAACTATCAAAACTTCCTGAAAATATTATTGATTGGACACAAATAGATGTACAAAATTGGTTAATAGGATCAAATCTAAGACAAATGGCTCGTCTTCTAACTGATTTCGATGGACCAAGTTTGAATAATTTATATGATTTGATAGTACGAACTGAACCTCAACAAATTTTGTCATTATTTCATGATGATTGTTCACGAAAAATTAATGAAAGTATTTCATTACTAGAATTAGCACGATTTCGTACATTACTCAATGAACGACAAGGATCAATTAAAGTAAATAAATTAATAAAAAAAAGTAACATTATATTAAATCTTCTAACTCATTGTCGTATGATGTAAATTTTCTTTTCATAAAATGATCAATATATATATATCACACTCAAATTTAATAATCAATAAATTAGATATTTTTCTTTTGTTTTTTTTACTATATTTAATTTTATTTATTTTATCATAAGAAAATTTTACTAGAACAAAAGAAAAAAACAATCAATAAAAAATTTGAGATGTTCATAAAGAAAAGTTTTTCAAAATCGAAAGAGATTCATATAATTAGATGAAATATAAAATATTAGCAAAATTACTAAACATTTAATAAACAATTCTATGAATCATAGATGTTCTTTGCCAATATATAAAACTAATAAATAATAAACTAATCATAACGAACATTTATTCATATTTCTATTACAACCAACTTCATTGTCACATTAACAATATGTTCAATAGAATCACGACCATGTACAGCACATTCACATATACAATATCGTGAAAACGAAACGATTTATAAAAATTATCCAACTTGTACATTATTTAATGTTACGTATATTTCAAAAACGAGATTATCTTGAATAATTAGTGATTTTTTTATCGAAGTTTCCTTTAGAGATAGGATGTGTTTTGAACTATATCGCAGAAAATTTTCAACAACAAGAGAATAAGTAACTTGCTGAATTTAATTTTCAGTATAACGTTAACAACAGAATTACTATGACATGAAATATTCTATTTTGTTTGATACTTAATATTGAATACATCAAATAAAAATTAGCAAAGCCCATAATTTTAAACTTCATTTTCTATCTAGAATATAGTGACTATTTGACGAGGCTTATTTTCAAGTTTTTTCCACTGCTGTAAACGTGAAGAACAATAAATTTTTCAACTTTTAGAATTTTTCATTCTAAATTCTGCTGGAGTTATGTAAAATGACAGAGTAAACTATGAAACATTCTTCACCTTGCAATGATGTTTTCATACGAAATAAGAGGAAGAAAAAGAGTTTTGTACCCTCTGTAAAATTGTTATATCATTCTAAACAACTCAAATAGAATTTTTATCGCAAAGTACAGAACTTGTAAAACTTAGTTTTTCAAACATTTTTATCTAAAGAGAGAATTTTTATTAGAATAAAATTCTTCACTTAAGACACTATTTCGTTTCTTCTTAGTGTGTATACGACAGCATCAAAAAATTAATTAAAAATAGATCCAGCGAAATAATTTTGATAGTTACTGCATATATATTCATTAAAATGAAAGAGTATATATTTTTTCATGTATATTTTCTACATAAATTGTTCAATTTTTGAACAATTTTTTACAAACATTGTATCATGTACCTAATAAAGCAAGAAGTAACAATGAGTAATAAAATATAGTGAAATAATACATGTAAATAAAAGATTCTTCAACTCAATCATGATCAGATTAAAAAAAAATCAATTTTGCAAAATAGAAGAAAAATTATTAAATCAAAAAATTTAGCAGAAAGTCTGTTAATAGGACTACAGATTATTACATTTATATTAGTTCAAATTTGTAGAAAATTTATAATAATTTTGATATAGATTTACCAATTTTAGATATGATACTGCTTTGTATAGGATATAATAAATAGAAAATTTCATTGACTATAAAAAAAAAAAACATTTTCCCATCACATTATATTCATTTGAAAAAAGTTTAATGTAAATTCATACAGTACACTAATGCCATCTTTTTTAATTTACTCACATTGAATTAAATAAATAATCCAATCATATTATTTACTATGTTTTCTCAATGTAAGAAACTTAAACCAATAGAAAATTTTCAATTGTCCTCGATAGAAATGTATGTGTTAGGCTATGAACACACTAGACGAAGTGATTTAACTTAAATCAGAATTGCGTAAGTTGATTGGTTAATTCATATTTAAATCGTCTCGAAAAGATGATTTAAATATGAATTAACCAATCAACTTACGCAATTCTGATTTAAGTTAAATCACTTCGTCTAGTGTGAACATAGCCTTAGTTTAAACAGAAACAGGAACATATTGAGTCATAATTGTCTTCGTTAGATATTTTTCATGATTTTACTTCATTTATTATATTACATATGAATTCAATTTTATTTCGAATATTGATTGCTCACTTTTTTGTTTTACATAATATAAATCGAACGATCAACGCATTCAAGCGTTCAATATTTCTTTCATCAAAATCAAATTAAACCTTACTCTTTTTCGATCATAATAATAAAGACTAGACTATATCTTGTATTTAATATGACCTTGTTTATTTCTAGACACACATATATATATAAATACAGAAGAGAATGTATCGTCAATTGTTCCGTCATATAACTTCATTGACAATTAAACCAAAAAATGGTTTATATCAAACTATTATACGTAATACACATCATACAAATCCATTTCCAATGATATCAAAACAAGCACCTGATTTTAAAGGTCAAGCAGTAATTAATGGTCATTTTAAAAATATACAATTATCAGATTATAAAGGAAAATATGTTGTACTTTTTTTTTATCCATTGGATTTTACATTTGTCTGTCCAACAGAAATTATTGCATTTAATGAAAAATTAGATGAATTTCGTCAACTTGATACGGAAATTATTGGTTGTAGTACTGATTCAGTATATAGTCATCTTGGTAAGTTAATATATAGCGTCTAATTTCGGATTCTCACATTGGACTATATTAATAATTTATTCGAATAGAACAATTCATCAAGGTCTTCATTTAACATTGTAGCTAAAAGCAAGGTTAACCTTATACATTCATAAGCGTATTAAGTTATAATAGAAGGATATTACAGATTGATTTGTCATTATGGAGATGTTTAATATCCGATCCATACGATTTAGTTCAAAAGAAAATTATTCGCTTGACATATAGACAAGGACAAAATACTTAATAGAATAAATTGAATGGCTATAAAAAAAAAAGTATCCAGATGACATCATTTTTCTCTAGAGATCTCATTAAGAGGACTAAATCGATGTAGAATATCTCTATTAATAAGAAATTATTGCAAAAATCGAAAGAAAGATATTTATTCTTTTTTTTTCTCATGTACGAGTCTATTTTTAGCTTGGATTAATACACCAAGAAAACAAGGTGGTCTTGGTGGACTTAAATATCCATTATTAAGTGATTTTTCTAAAGAAATTGCACAACGTTATGGTGTTTTACTTGATGAAAATGGTGGTATTGCATTACGTGGTTTATTTATAATTGATAGAGAACAAAATTTAAGACAAATAACTATTAATGATTTACCAGTTGGTCGATCAGTTGATGAAATACTTCGTCTTATAAAAGCATTTCAATTTGTTGAAAAACATGGTGAAGTATGTCCAGCTAATTGGCATGAAAAAACAAATCCAAATACAATTAAACCTGATCCTGTTAAATCAAAAGAATATTTTGAAAAACAAAAATAAATCTTGTCTTTTGTTTTTTTCTCGTCAATAATTTTTCTCTTTTTTTTTGATATTTGGATGGATGAAAAAAACTGTTTGTTTTAGTTTTATGATATTTTCTAGATATTTATTTTTACTTTGTATGTTTTAAGAAGAAAAAAAAAGACAACATCAAACATAAATATGCAAGCCTACGGTCGTTATGATTTTAATGCAACGGCCAATGATGAACTTAGTTTTCAAAAAGGAGCTGTACTCAAAGTATGTTTTTTTTTGTTTTATTTTATTTATATAATATATATTATTATTAAATAGGTACTCAATATGGAAGAAGATATGAATTGGTATAAAGCTGAATTAAAAGGACAAGAAGGTTATGTACCAAAGACTTATATTGAAATGGCTCCTCATTTGTAAGTATTTGTTTCAGCAAGTATTAAGAAACATTTTATCAGAGAAGCTATGCTTTTTAATGACTATATGTATTTCCTTCTTATTGAAATATGAGAAAAATATAGGCCTATAAATACATGTTGAAAATTGATCGATCAGTTACTGAACCCTATTTTTCGGTCATTAATATAATTGATATGTAGAAAAATTTGTTCGGTTCAAGAGTTAGACGATTTTTTCTAATAGACCTAGGATCAGTCGAAAAAAAGCATTCAGGCGGTGATAATTCATCATGACGAGTTGAATGGTGATATTTGTTTGTAAGTGAAACTTTAAAAATATGAAAATAACAGTGTCACATCATTTAAAATCTAAAAGAACAAAAATCACTATTCGAGTTAGTATGATAATTGCAGCTTTCTATTTTATTCATATGAAAAATTTGCATGATAGATTATGAAGTTTATTTTATTGAATTCTTTTAGATTACATTTGTATTATTAATTTTTCTTTTTTGAATTTAGTTGGTTTCATGGTAGTTTAACGCGTGCTGAAGCCGAAAAAATTCTTCTTCAAAAAGATTCAAATACTCAACGATATCAACAACCTGATGGTGCATTTCTTGTGCGTATGTGTGAATCATCACCTGGTGATTTTTCACTTTCAGTCAAGTATGAATTTAAAGTTTTAAATAATTATATTATAATAATAAAATTTTATTTAGATGTCAAGATCAGGTTCAACATTTTAAAGTGTTACGTGATGGTATGGGTAAATATTTTCTATGGGTTGTTAAATTTGATTCTATTAATGAATTAATTGATTATCATCGTACAACTTCAGTTAATCGTGGACAAAATTTATTACTCAAAGATATGGCTTCAGAACAAACATCATCATATGTAAATTGAATAAAATAATGTATTAAAAAAAGAAAGAATTTTATTTTGTTTTGTTTTGTTTTTATTTTAGAATCATAAGAATACTCAAAGAACAATACAAAATTTTCAATCACAACCATCAGTTCCTTCAGCACCATCAGTTGATGATCAAACATATGTAGCTGCATATGATTTTCAACCACAAGAAGAAGGTGAAATCGAATTGAGACGTGGTGATCGTATTCGAATGTTAGATCAAAGTGATGCGAATTGGTGGAAAGGCGAAGTTCGTGGTAATGTTGGTCTTTTTCCTGCAACTTATGTTCGACCTTTGTAAGCAATACGAACAGTGTTACCGTTCTTGACACAAACATATATATGACTTTTCTTTTCACATGTGTTTATAAACTGCACGTGTTTTAGTTCAATTAGTACCTGCTACTTACAAAAACCACTGTCGTGTGTTCGTGTAAATATATATATAAATATATATTTAGTCTAATTGTTAAATTGATGCCACTTGGCATACCTTTCTCTTTCTAATTGAATAATTGATACAATTAATAGATTGGTGCTCTTTTGTTCATTGTTGTAGGAAGATAGATTGCTCTTGCTTCTGTTATATTGTTGTTATTGTTCTTCTTCTTCTATTCTTTTTTTTTGTCATCATCTTTTTTTAGTGATGAAATAAATCAATAACATTCTCTCGGAACCAAAGAAGATATCTCACGATGATTCTTTCTCTAATAAGACATCCATTTTCTAACGAATAATTGATGTTATGATATTCATTAATTCTTGAACTAGTGGAATAAAATAATTTATTACTTAACTTCACTTATCAATAAGAAAACAAATACTACAAGTTTATATTCACGTTTCATACAAAAAAAA